ACAAGAAATAAGGTTTATTTTACAGTATACTCTAATTTAAGAGTCAAGAGAGTGTGTACAGTTTTTTATCTATTTATCTGCATATCTATTTGTGATGGTAGGAATTATCTGGGGATACTAAGTCCTGTATGTTTTTGTTTTAAGGGGTCACCTTTTTATAAAAAGGTGATCACAACGTAATGTCAACATACTGTAAGTAGATTATACTAGTCGGGCAAATGACAAAATAACAATCACTCATTATTAACTAATAAAGCAGATGTTGAACTAGACAAAAACTTTCGTTAAGCTGAAAATAAATTTGAATTTTAATACATTTTTTAACTATTTTAAATTTTTTCTTAATCTATTATCTACAAATGTGTAATATTTATTACATCGTTTTAAAGCATATTGTTACACCATTTTCTTGTAAATATGTTCAACTTCCTAAGTCTTGCTATGTAACTCGATATTTCAGTCATAAAGAAAGTCTAGATTTTTTACTAAAATATAATATCATTTTTAGAAGCTAATTTAATTTGTTAATAAAGTGTTATGAATGTTATATGTACTAGGAATAATCCTAGGAATAATAACCGATAATAATATCGGTTATATCATATATGTACCTTGTATGGACATATTTAAGGTAAGAAATTGTCAAACAACGGGTTTTTAATTTAAAGTGTTGATAAATTAATATTGGAAATATTGATAGAATAATAAAAAAAGTAAAATATTTTCCTTAAAATGAAATATTTTATTCATATGGTAACAAAAATAGAATGCTAGTAAGGTTGTAACTAAATTATATATTAATATTAGCACTTCTGTCCCAAAGGATGGATCCCTAGTGAAGAAAAATTAATAATAAAATTAATAATCCTAATACTTCAATAAAAATCTAATAGCTATTTGAAAACATTAAATTTTCGACCATAACACAGGTATTTATTTGAAGTATATATTTTATAAAAAGATTAACGGATTATAAAAATATTAAACTATACCAAAAACAATATAGTAGCATTAAAACTTATTATTTGATGCTATCTAAATATTAAAACATTATATTTAAACCTACTTATGAATTAATTTATTTTTCTTTTTAGTTAAGAATACGTCTTAAAATGACTTCTCGTGTTGTATAGCGAGTTGGCTTGCAGGTACTGTAGCACAATCTGTTACAGTTTTTTTTTTATGACAAAGGGGGCAAACGAGAAGACGCGGACGGCCTACCTGACCAAGGTAGTGCAGTCGTTCATAGATATCCGCAACAGTTTTTTGTGGATGTGTTGCCACTCTTGATTGAGGAAAAGGGGGAGGAAAGGATGGGAAAAGAGTCTCACCCACTCTCACTCATCGGACGAACCGCAGCCTAAAAGGCTACTCTACGCCGATCTTCTGTGAGAGGCTGGTACTTCTCCGGTCGAGGCAGCCCATGTTCGAGCTGCAGTAAATTGACCGCAGGCTACGCTAATAGACTCTAGGCTACCACAACAGTTCTTATTCTGAAAATAATGTGTATGAATTCTTCTTTGAAAGCTGTCCAGATTGATGATTGTAGACAATGGCAGTACATAAGTGGTACGGGTTGTAGGTGGTTCTCGATCTTTCCATAACACGTACATTTTTGAAAGGCACAAACAGAATTTTTTGGGAGTCACCATGAATATGAGACAAGAAACTCCGAGACAAGAAACTGCCGATTTAGTTGAACAAAAATTTTCTTGCAACATGTTACCTTCACAATGTCAGAGATGCTTTACCCTTACGACGCATTGGCTAATAGGTGTACCTGTTACGCGTGTAATTTATTAAACCATGAAATAATAAAAAAAATATTTAAAATATATTCCGAGATATAATGGTTAATATGTTGTAAAAACTAAAAGCGAAATTTTTTATTACAGTAATAATAACTTCGTGATTTCACACGAAAAATTAATTTGCCGATATCAATACATATCAACATATTGTATTTGTTCAAAAGCAATAACTCACGCTATATTAATAAGTTGTCCTCCAGATGAAATTGATAAAGGAATACCAGTATGTCATGTTCTATAATTGACAACGCAATTTTTGGTTATCTTTTAGATAAAAAAAAATATAAATATCTTTAGAGCTTTTTTGTGTAATAAACTGAATATGTAATTGAATTGATAATATGTAATATTTGATTCATATTTGCTTAGTAACGAGTTGTTAAACTTAAATACATCATTACCAAAATATGTAAATTTTCCTTATAAAGACACAGATTTAGTCGTCATAATTAGCCTTTCAGAGCCCACTGCTGCACAAAGGTTCTCACATGGAGAAAATTTGAGCATTAATCACCACGCTTTCTCAGGACGGGTTAGCGATTTAAAATATATAATTTGAAAATATAAGTCCAGGTTTCTTCACGATGTTTTCCTTTACGGTCTGTCAGTGGTGTCTAAATACACTTAGAAAGTACATATGACTCGGAAAAATCTTATTGATACTTGCCAGGTTTCTAACCCGTGTCCTCGTACATGAGAGGCGGGCCTTTTATTACGAAGCCACCACAACAGATGTAATAGATATAACAAATATGTTTGTCGTTTTGTATAAATTATAATTTATTTTTTATTCGTTTCACATACATATTAATAATTGTTTTATTAATTTTCTTATTTTCTTGAATTTTATTTGGAATTATTTTGTCTTTCTTAACCCTTTAAAATCATATTTTAATATGAAAAAATATTTAAATATGTTAAATACATAATCCATTAACATTTCTGAATTAACTTATATTTTGTTTAGTATTTGTTATTTAAGTAAAAATTTAACGTTTTGGAACAGTGAATACAAATATTATTGCTTTAAATATAACAAATTGCGACTACGTTTTAAATTACACAGAATTTTAACAGTTTCAAATGTAAACAATTTTATGAAAACTATTTAACATATTCAATTTACTTTAACATATCTATGACACATTAAAATTTCGCGTTAGCAAGTTTAGAACATTTTTAGCTGTCGTTAAATAACAATTTAAACTTCAGTTATATTATTATAATGGCATTAAGTTTTCAATGAAAGCTATTAGAACTCTACGGTTTTATTATTTATTAATAGTTTTTATGATTTGTCGTTTTCTAATATAATCTCATAAAAAAAACATTTACCACTATTGTATTCAAAATTGCCATAAAGGAAGAATTTACAAAAAGTATACGTATAGTCTTCTAGTCAATTTTTTTTAAATTAATCAATATTCCAAAAGTTAATGGTAATTAATTATTTTGCTTCTCCACTAAATTCCTGAATGGACTCATTTCGAATCTACATATGCGTAATCATATTTAACTTAACCTTTTGAACAAATTAAGCAAGCCAAACTATTATCACAATCCGTAGTTTCTGTTTTAACAGAAGTAGGTTTCGGTTTGTAATTAGTACTAATGGTTTGTAATTAGTACTAATGTCATCATCGGCAACAAAGCGTTTATTAATTGAACGTACTCACACACTCACTTGCTTCATCTATACGAGGACACACATACTCACACAGACACACATAAAATTATAGTTGTGCTTAACAGGGTTGTCAGATTTATCAGAACAGTAGTCTGTAATCATGCTATAAATTTAGTAAATAGATTCATTTTTTGACAACCGCACACACACACACACACAGACGTGCATGTTCACAAGCATAAATACTCAACACACTTAAACACACACAAATTGGAACTAAAAGTCATCAATGATGAGAACATATGAAATGAAACCAAGTTTTTTAAGATAATTTATTAAAGCATTTTTAAACATATCAAGGAAGTAGATATATCGATTATCGACTAATATAAAGATTGTAGCAAATTTGGTACAAACATTCATTATGTATAGTACGAATCCATTAAAAAGACTAGGTTATTAATACATTGCGCGAATGTACTTGAACACTGACGATTTTTTATCAAAAATGTATATAAAGATGTGTAGATTAATTTTAAAACCAAGAATTAATAGCTGTCAATATGTTCTTATAAACGGAATAATAATTTCTTTTTTTATATAGTTTGCAATCAAATAAAACACTATACTGTAAAAAGTAAATAATAAAAACAAATCAAACACACATTTACTATGATATATAATTTATGTAATAAAAAATTATCTTAAAAACTTATCAGTTTATTGATTTATCTATTAAAATTAAATAAACATAACAAAATATAAATTGTATCAGATTGCATTCAACATTTATGAACATCAACAAAGCCTCTAATAGGTAACATTTCAACATTAAAAATAAATGTCAATTACGCCAATCGTTTCCAAAGTCACTATTCATAAAATAAAAATAATATTCTGTTTATCAAAACAACCATAGAATTTATTGTTAAAGCAAATATTTTCTCCTCATTTTTTTCATAGATTTTCGAGAAAACAAACGTTTTTAACGTTATAGTCAAGCTGAAAGCTTAGTCTAGACTACTATAAGTCTCTGTGGAGCGGATACTAAGATCAGCGGTTAATTTAAACTCTCTATATCTAGATTATTATAGTGAGAATATGAAGATTTAATCTTACCCTTTGAACAATAATATTTATTCTCTATATATGCAATTTTAGTTTCGTTTAGTTTAACACAATGCATATAAAAACAGTATTTCCCTTAACAAATACCGATATTTATTAAGTAAATTACATCATTTTTTACGTTTATGCACTTCTATGATAAGATGTTCACCAATATTAATCGTAATATTTGTATCATCTTCCTGACATACATTTCTCATTAAATAAACTAAGATTTAAGCTACGAATAATGTCTAGCAGTTTTGTGATGGGCAGGCAGAAATATTAAAAAAATATAGGATGTTTTGGTCCCTTCAACAACATCACTGTAAAATTGTTTAAGTTATTGACTCTTCTTTATATTATGTTAGAATTTTATTTGCTTGAATGTTTAAACCTAAATATATTATATAATTCTGATTTTAATGTCTCCATAATAAAATCTGCTTTATCTTCTATTCGGATGAGACACTGGGATCTGGTTCTTCAAGATGTGGTAGACTTCCATCACCATTCCGCCTCGCTCGGTTCGTTATCATCTCATTCGTAGCTACTTTCACTGGAATTGATAAAACTGGGTATTAAAACCAATTTATTAATTAAGAAGTTATAGTTCAAATCAGGTAAGTTTCATTTCGTTTTATAGCAGAAATGAGATTTTCAAAGTACAAAAATAAAATAAAGTATAGCTCTCGTAATCATACGTTATTATTTCAAAACAATGGGTCGTTGCACGTAAAAGGTGGAATAATTGCAATGAAAAAAAGACACCAACGATCATAAGCCCATCCAATTTTTGCAAACGCATCTATGAAGGCTGTTGAAATATTAATCATTCCTAGTTCCGAAGCCCGGTAGTCCCAGGGGAAGACGTGGTGGTAATTGTGCCATCCCTCGCCCAATGCTGCCAAACTGACTATTTTGTTCTCCACAGACTTTATGAATCTGAAAAATTATCAAAACGTTATGAATTCTCATCTTAATTTATATTTATTTTTGGTAGATCCTTTAAGGATTTTTTTAAATTAATAATAGTATTAAATTTCTTTACCTGTCGTAAGGTTTATTTCCCCACATGTGAGCGAAACTGTTCACGCTGTAGGCAATATTCAGTGTGATTGTGAATCTCGTAACGAAGCTCAACACGAAACTGTTGATGTAGCTCTCTTGCCAAAAATAAACAGGAATAGCGACCGGTAGGAAGACATTCAGTAGTACAAATAATGGAATAAATAATCTGAAATTAAATTTTCATTTTGTTATGTGAATACTACATTATTAAGCTGGCTGTTCATGCTATTAATTGGACAGATTTTTCTTTTTATAATGTCCAAGTGACGATTTATATAAAAAAGTATATCTGTGTACATACAGAACGAAAAATTATATAAATCTCTATCTTTATTTTGAATTGAAAAGCGCCTGAGCTTAAAAAAAGGCTTAATTTTTTTTACACTTATTTTATATTCAGAAAAGATTATCATAATAAAGGTTATTACATTTTCTGCCAACTAACAACTGGATCGGCGAGCAAGTCCAACGATGTCTTTCTCAATGAGATCCTTCGATCTTCAACAGCGGGGTGAGGTGTTAGTACCAGCCAGCCGACGTGAGCAAACCAGAACCCACGTCTAACGTCGTGAGGATCCGCCACTGTTTCTGTGTACTTATGGTGAACCCGATGATCCAAGGCCCATGTATAAATATCGCGCTGAAATAACATAATATACGGTAAATGTATGAAAAAACTCTACCTTAATGTAATAACACGCTGTCTCAGTTATAGATGAAACTATATCGATAAATAAAAAAGAATGAATTTCCTGATCCAAGGCCCATGTATAAATTTTGTACTAAAAATAACATATAGTTAATATATGAAAAAAACACTCCACCTTAATTTAATTATAATAATATTCATTTACACGGTATCTTAGTTATATGGGAAATTACAACGATAGATGAGGAAGAAAGAATCCCTGATAGATGTTTCCTTTCCCCTACTTAGCGATAAATTAGTTCCAAATGTTGTAACCTGAGCATGAGTTCGAGTTCTGGAGGTTTCTCACTATCACAGCTCCTACTTCTGACACCATAGAATAAAAAATATCTTATACTTCTATGTACATCTGATCCGATTGATCTAATTTCATTCATAATGCTTATTTATTTATTTAACTAATATAATAATTGTCTTTATTAGTACCTGGGTGGAAAAATTTGAGTTTTCAGAATTACAAGAACAATAGTCCGTAAAAATGCTGTAAATTGAATAAGTAATTAAATAAGTCCTTACTCATGGCCTTCATAGATACATGATAATTTTTGTAAAAAAAAAAAACTATTAAAACTTCTACATATAATTAAAGTATGTATTTGGAAAGCAAAATTAATTGACATGAAAAGTATTGGATATCAAGACTCATATTTGGAGCCAGAATACTTGATTACCCTTTCAATCAACAGTATAGCTTCTTTACTAAAAGGCGCTATCTGAAGCCTGTATGCTTAGCTCAAGCTAGAACTGTGGCTTCATACATAGCATGTTCATTTCTCATTCAGTATATATCAATGTCAATACAGCAGTGCGAAGATTTATTAATAAAAAACTGTTAACCCTTTTTATGTTCAATGCTAACTTGGATTGAGCATACTAAATATAGTGTTTGTTACATTTACTAAGCTAACTGACTTATTTATATGTTATTGTTGATTTAAATAAGATAAAAAATCTGTTATAAGAAATTCTCTATCTCATACATGTTTACTACATATAATATGATACTTTGGTAAGAAGTTGTTAAGTTTTTCTCTTGTGTTTTTTTTTTTAAATATAGTTTATGTTATAATTGATTACATTTCAACCCGCGTCAAGTTCACTTCTGATGAGATATCTTTTTATTATTTAATTAAAATTAATGAGTTTTATTATCACGATTCCATTGTCACTATAATCGTCGTTTTACTATTACTCATAAAACTTGGAAAGGCTAAGCTTGTTAATGTCATCGATCCAATTAATTTGATTAGCTGTTTGATTAAATTCGTAGATCGAAAAACGCTTTATAGATATACTTTCTACAACCTACTCGCTTCATATTGCATAAAATACAGAAATTAAAAATTTTCATTATTAATACCCATCCAACCAACCTCATGTGGTGTGCCGTATCGTAAAATTCGTTCATAATTTATTAAAATTATTTATACGTCACTTAAGGAAAATTCATACAAAATTTGAACTCTGTAGAAGCTATAGCTTGAAAATTAAGTGTTCATTATTATCACCTACCAATTCATTATCGGGGACGTGTTATTATAAAATTTGTTCATAGATAAATTTTACATCACACATAGAAGATTCCTACTAAATTTTTAGCATGTTGGAGCTATATTTTAAAAATGTAATCTTTCATTGTTGACGCCTCCACAACACTGTCAGTGGGTGGACTTTCTTAAAACCTTTACTTAGTTGACCTTTACTCGGCAAAAGGAATGTTCCTACGAAATTTCAAGTTATGTATGGTTCCAAAGTAATAGTGGTGACAGAATTTGTAAGTGGAAATCTCTAATATATTTATTGTTCGCCACATTATAATTAAGGTTATTTAATTATTATTATTTATTTAATATCACAATTGACGATTAATTTGTACGCGTCATACATTTTGGCCAAGAAGCGACTTATTTAAGTTTTCATAACATTACATCTACATTGAAATCGAAAATATTGTTTTTAATAACATTTAAGGGAAATTTTATTCAATTTACATAAATAAAATAATTTTTCAATTAAGTTCTTTGTAAATTAACTAAAATCGTAATGGAAAGTTACAGTTTTATACATAAAATGTATTATGTTTCTTATGTACACTATAATAAGATCGGTATTACTTTAAAAAAATCCAGCATGGGTCTTTGCTACATAGTTTTTTAATATTTTTCCTTTACTCTTTTCATTGCTGGGGACGTTCTAAAACTTTTATATTACGTAAGCACATGTTTTTCTTAACTCTCAATTTTAATTATCTTTAATTATTCAGTATATTATGCAACATGTATTAATTTAGAACGCAATATCATAATTTAAAGCCAATAACGAAGGGTCAACTCAGCAATTGACACTAATATAAATGGCGAGTTCTGTTAACATACATGTATGACTATTTTCGTTTTTAAATTTAAAGTATAGATGTCGCTGACTATATTTTATACGTCAATGTTTTTTTTAACATTTCATGATTCATATGTACTTGCAACTGATTTTGAATGAACATACAAAACGAGATATTATATAAATCTTTATTATCATGAAGTATAAAATACCACAATTGATTATTATCAAAAGCTCTAATCTATTAAATATTTATTGATATGGCAGTGTTTTTATAAAACAATTATTATGTAAGAAAAAAATTGAAAGACATTTTTCAATAATGAAATGGCAACACATTTAGAAATAAACAATTAGAAGATGTTGACCAAAAATTCAATTGGTCTATCTAGTTATCCTAAACAAATTCACATTATGACTTTTTTTATGAAGTATTCATTCTTTTTAATTTATTAGTTTTAACATGAACACGTAACTTTGTTTAAAAAGTATTATGAGAACTTTGAAAATGACGAACATTAATATTTACAATTCTAATTCCCTTTAAACGTTCGCTTCACCAAATAGTACAGAGAATTTTATAATGAAGTGACTTGAAAATTTATTTCAAAACGTCGTTCAACATTTTATAAATTGTATATAGTCTTTTGGAAGGTAAAAAGAAACTGAAACATAAATACATATATATTAAACCAAGTAAGTAACATACGAGTATACCTACAGGACAAAATCTTAATGTTTCAGACATGAAAAGAATTTCTGGGAGAAGTCGCTATTAAAAGATAAGTTATTTTACGTGTACCTATCACATTTCTTTTGTAATATCCAAATTTTTTAATACATAAATACATTAAAAAAAGGTTGTTCAAAACTTATAATTAATTAATTTTAAGCAAAATATTAAAAAATCTGGTATAATTCTAAGGAGTGATAACAATTTTCTTCTTCTATATACATATATAAAAATGGATAGCTGTTCCTTAGTCTCGCTAAAACTTGAGAACAGCTGAACGGATTTATCTTATCTTAGTCTTGAAATGTTCGTGGAGGTTCAGGGAAGGTATAAAAGCTGAAAAAAATTGATTCATTACTGGGAAAACCATAAAAACAGCCCTTTTCTATTTCCCATACAAACGTTTTTTTTGACATTAGATTTGACAACTAATATGTCAATCATTCTGTCACACTTCAAAACACGGAGATTTATGGCTTACAGGTAAACTCCAAAAATATAAATAAAAAAACGTCATAGATATTTCTTGATTATAGGGCGATACGAAGTTCGCCAGGTCTTCTAGTTCTTTATAAAGTTGACCATTATAGTTAAAAGATGTAAGTTATTTAAACAATATTTTAATTTAAGCATTCGTATTGAAGGGAAGCGGAATAATAATAAATTATATAAGGAAATATGAAGAAAAAAGTAACATTATAAGGAAAACATTCCATTACTGAACTTTCATTATATATTGGCCTTTGTAAATAAAAATAACTTATATTCTCTATTGACATCGTGTCATGACAGAAATGCTTGAATTCGAAGCTATTGAGACTCTATATTATAAACCAGTAAATGTTTCTTAAAAGTATGTCAAACTTTTACATATGTATAGTTTATTTGTATAAAACATCCGCCTCTTAAATAGCAATTATTGTAATCAAAGATATCATTGTGTTTTGTAAACAATTTTGATTTGTATAAGTAAATGTAAACAAACAAACATGCATTTTTGTTATCAAATTTTTTATCGTATAGATTGCTGAACACCTGCGTGGAAACTACTTTATATCAGTGTTTATCATTCAGATAACGACTGCATACAGAGACGATAATGGGTCTCGGTTATCAGAAGTAATCTATGAATAGTAGATATGGCTTCGATGGGAGATTTAAACTCATAATTTGTTTTGAATCTAAATTATAATTGGTATGAAAACAGTCCTACATGGACCCGCCCCATGATTACCTTCAGACAGACTGAAGGATATCTCTAACGTCATGGTTTTTTTAAGATGTCATTGCATTAGGAAATTTTTACCATTATTTAAAGTTATATGACTAAAACCTTATTTATTTATATTATGACAAATGTAACGATACTCAGAATTACTATTTCATTGAAGTCGTTAAAATGATAGCTAAAGTCTACAAAACAAACTGATATTTAGATATTACATTGAATTTTCATGTTTTCATTACGATTCTGATACTGAGTCATAAACAAAAGAACGTGCAACAGTCAAATATGGAAAATACAAGGAAATTTTATAATTATATAATTAATTATTTATTATTAGCTACAAATGTAAATTGGCATTTATGTTCTTTACATATTTATAATTATGGAGTACAAGTACTACCTAGTTTTAAATAGCTAATGAAATAGTGTTATGTATAGATATAATTTTGAATTATTTTCTGTTCATAGAAATATTAATAACTAGACCATATTTCTAATAGATGTAAATCTTTTTTTTCACTAATAATAAATAAAATATGCCAGGAACACGTGTAACATTGGTTAATCAGAATCAATATTGAAGATTCTTTCATTCGGTTTCGTAATTATGTTAATATTTATTTATAGAACGTATATCAATTGATAAACAGCTCTTAATAATTTGATGGATTTGGGAAACAACCAAATAATTTTAAATGAAATGTCTATTATGTCTTCCTTGTAATTAGTTTAATAGTATCTGAATTGGGAAAATTGGCACGAGATTACGTCACTTTGCGTTAACAACATCGTTATTCAGGGAAAGTCAATAGAACATGAACTTGACCGACTAGTTGGGTAATATTCACAGTCAGTGAGTTTTTATTATAGAGAATGAAGAGAGAAACCAAACAAAATTATACACGAAACTCGAGGACACAAGGTACTAAAAGTAGTTGTAATAACAATGGTACCTACTAAGGGTTTTAGTTGAATAAAAATGTTCAAAAAGATGGCTGCGTATTTTGTGCTGTATTGTCAGAACAATGACAATATAAGTGAGAATGTATAGAAGGCGACTTAGTCATTAAACACTCGTAATCATAGGTATGACGTAACACAATTACACGTGTCATAAACTTATATCCGTGCCCTACAAAGATTAAATCTAAGTCAGTTTTAACATAAATCGTGGGATGATCTACATCAGTCACTTACTTCTGATTTGTTCTAATTAAATAACAATAATGACAAAACTTTATTACTTCAAATAAAATTATATTCCACATTCAATTGTTTTAACCATTGAAAACAATCTATTAAGGATTTTCAATGTGTACTCACACATACACACCACACCTACACTCACGCACACGCATCCATACATTCGTAAACATTGATATTTACAGAGCCTAGATTTGGAGAAAGCCAAGCATTCTATTATCACAATTATTATTGTAATAATAACTCATAAAATATCACCTGCCTTGAAACTACATATGCGGTATAATTCCATTAAATAAATATTTATTGTAAGGATAATAGTTCTTCTATAAATATATTAATTATTAACATAATTCCTGTCAACTAACTAATATTTCAAATATTCAACGCTTTACTTACCTGTCCAGTGACAGTGAATAGTAGAGCGAGTAAAATTCTTAAAGGAAGATTGGCTTTGTACGCTCTGTGCGACCATAGCCTGTGGACGCCGGCTGTAATACCGAAACCCGATGTGTATATTGTAAAAAAAACTGGAACAAATATAACAAAATTTTTATGTATTATCTAACAGCATTAGACTCGGATCAGATTTCATGTCTAAGAGCTTCTAACGTACATTGTATTGTTTTATTTTATTTAAGCTATGGCTTCATTAAGAGTATGTTATTTTTAAACATGTTTGAGTAACATCACTGTCATTTTATGTCATCGCTTATTATTGTCATTGGGTTTTTTTTACTTTTAAAGCGTCATAAAACGACGTCGATCGTCACGATATACATACTTCGTTTGTGTTATATTAGTACATAGGTTCAAAACTTAATGAGAAAATTAATCCTGGATGGGAAGTTGTCGTCAGAAGATATTCTGAACATAATCACAAATTGCCTTTGTGAAGATTGCTTGTAGATAGATGAAAGATAAAAAAATGTGAGATGCAGATCCAAAAAACTGTAATTTGATTTATGCTTCATTGAAAAATAGTTTTAGTATTTTTTATTTCATATGAAATGCTATCCATGGTGATAAAGATTGTTGAATGAAGACGTATTTGTCGTTTTTATTGGATATACCTTTTTCTACACATAAAGGATAATTGAGTTCTTAATTATACCAGTTTATTAAAATAGGATTTTACAAAAAAAGTTATATTTTTTATATTATTATTACACACGTATGTACCCAAAAGGCTTGGGATATTTGCATGGAAATTAATTGTTTCACACGGACTCAAAGTAATTCAATGTATGGTAAATAATAAAAATAATATAAATGAAAAAGAAAGAAATCGCCTGAAATATTGTTAGTTACTGTAATGGAATATAGAATTTCAGTAGCATTGTATAGTAAATTAAGTTATGGCCTTCACTACTTCATATCAATTCTAGTCATAGTGTAGTCATAATTATATTATACTAAAGAATTTAATATACAAAGTGATATAAAACCAAGCCTTTTATGAAAATATGAAGTTGTATGACATCATATAACTAAATAGATATTTATATGCTAATAACAATTAAAATGAAACTAATACAGCACGCGTATATCCGAAAAATATTAGTTTCAATTAAATGAATAAAACCCGCAAAAGTGTTAGATCTAATTATATGTAACAAAATGAATCTTAATAAATCTATATCAATAAAAAATACTCACCAAATAAGATAGTATATAATTTCACTCGATTAACTAATATGAGGTAGAAGCCATAAACTGTTGTCGAATGTAAACACAGCTGTACTAATAAATCCGGCCATTTAATGCGTGCTTTAAAATCTAGAGCTTCATATTTCATTAAATTAAAATCACTGTCACATTTTTCATCAATAATATCTTTTTGTAATTGATCTGTTATACTATATTTATTTTTTTGTCTCATAATTGTGTCTTCAAGTTTTCAAATCAGAGTTCAGTGTTTCAAATCAAACTGAAGAATATGAGTCGTCGATACAGTATTTGTAACCGAAATTACTTAACTTTAGTCACTTTTGTTAATATTTACCAGACTTAAAAACATACCGACACTATCGTGAGTGGCAGGTGTTTGGATACGTCATAATTATACTAGACATTGATATGAATATACGATTATAAATAATAAAAACGTTATCAATGGATAGTTGTTATGACTATTTTTTATATAATTAATAGTAATTTTGATTCGTTAATATAACTGTCAGTTTTATTTCTACGGTTTTTGCTATCCGTCATTACAGCTAAGTAAAAACATGTTTTACAAATTAAATTTTATAAACTTTCTCATTTCGAATATTAATATCAATTTTATTAGTGGTGTATAATATTTGTGAGTATAAGTAGAGTTTTTTATTTTTTTTTTGTTAATAACAATCGCACCTTTTTATGTGCTAATATACCCTTAAAAAATATTTTTCTAGGCGTCATTCCGAATCGAATGAGCTATCGCACATATTTTTAGGAGTTTTATTTCTATTTAACACGTTTTTGAACATGTTGACTAGACCACTAGGCACGAAATCGTATATGCATAGACATTCTTATCTGTTATTAAGGAAAATTTATTCAATATGTTACCACCATTATACTTAGTAGTACTAAGTATAATTATAAATAGAAGAGTCGAATGAAATTAACGAAATTCGGAATGTTTTATAACTATCCAGGATAGAACAATCCTTACAGATAAATATTGTTCATATAAAAGTTAGGCTTTAAATAGAACAGATAAGATTACACTGTAAATAAAAAAAATAGGTATTGTAATACAAGTATTAGGTAATTATTGATTATATATTTCTTGAATGATAAGATTAAATTATGAGTTGCAGATTTTACTCTAGCTTTTGAATCGTACTAACGTTTAGACAAAGAGTTGTTAAATTTTCAGAAAGATTTTCAAAAATCAAAATCACTGTTTATGTCACTTTCGATCTTTGTAATATATGTAAGTAGAAATTGTTTAACAAATATTTTAGTTAAATGAAAACAACTGGATTTATTACAGAGTTTTAATAGAGACTTTACACTAGGAAAATAGAAAAAGAATTCCAAAAAATACTGAATCTTCCCTTTTCATGACAGACTTTTATAAAGAAGAAGAAATGAAATGAGATATGAAATGTCTGGTTTCGCTATCATTACAGGTCCTGTTTCAGTTGTTCAACCAAAGAACTTCTAAGACTATATTTAAGGCTATAGGCAAGGTTTCGTTTAGTTTTCACTTCTTTTATTATTACAAACTCTTAAACTTTTTTTGTTAATGGCATGCATGTCTATGAAATCGTATGTAATAATTATATATATTCCATTTTCAAGCTATTTAAGAGGTTTACAAATAATTTTGTAGCTTTAATTGTAAGATGATGGTATTAGTTTTCAGTCTTAAAAAATATTCACAAAATTAATCTTTTACAAAAAAATACATAAGTTTGAAACTAAAAATCTTATATTAAGTTCAATTATTAAGCGTTAGTAAAATATCACCAAATCTTTATACAGTCATATAAATTGAAATTCCAATAAGAGAATTATAAGAGTTGAAGAAAATTTAAAATATCCTACACTGGTACCAAACCTTACATCTCACAACGTTATGTCTTTAGAAGCTTTACATTACTTAATATAAATTCAGTTGATAACCCAGCAACAGGTAATTTGAGGGGAGAAGTCAAGGAAAAAAGTTTCAGTAGATTTTTTGAGTATCAGAGAATATAAAAGAATTTACCCATATCTTTTATTGTCAACATTTTAAATATTTTAAGAAGTTTGATATTTGTTTAATATAGTGTCATATTTTTAGTGAAGCAGCTTGTGGTAGAACTAGTGGTATACATAAGAAATTCAGCACACCCTTTTAAATAATAATTAATCAATGAAGTACGCGTATCAGCTGGCTATCGTCCTGCTACGAAACAGATGTTAAATGTCCTGCTATCAAAAAGATAGTAGAGGTTTATTTGAATAGAGCACTACCCTAACTAAAAATCAATACATGGTCATTTCAGGTTCTTACGAAGATACGCTCATTAAATTCAAAGCCCTTAAATAATTAAATATGTTCATTGACTGCTTTTAACCATAAAACGTTTTTGAAACTATTTCTGAACAACACACATTGCTCAGAAATAAACTTAAACAGAATTTCTTTTAGACATTGCATTACTACAAAGTTACGCTACATATTTTTCTTGATTTTTTTTCAAACTTTTGTCTTATTGAATGTTTTATTATTTAGATCGTTTTGATTAAAATTAAAATTCTGATTTTAAATTATAGAAATCTAGTTCACAGAAAATTGTGTGATTAGTATAAGATAGAAGATTACTCAGTAGATCAGTCCTATCTAATCTACTCAATAGTATTCTCACGTATCACGACTCATTACGTCTTTATCCTCACAACATTTAATTTACATGTGCTAGATATATTTGTATTTTTGAATTTTGTTCCACTCTATTTTAACCTTCCTTTTTTATACTGTATGAGGATATTGAATTTCAATGGCAAGACAGTTGGAGGTTTAGTATAAAATGAACAGTCGTATATCATATTGTAATTTTAATATGTTAATTCATTGACCAGCTTATGTTTAGCCATCTCGATCAACAATTTATTTTTTGATTGTTATGATCACTTGAACAAGTCTTTGATATTGTTAGCAAATAAAATAAACATTTAATTATTATGGACTATTTAAATTGCCTTTAAAAGATAATAATACTTTTGTTAAATCTTTTTCCGTAACTATTTTAGCAATAATTGGTACACGTTTTTCCTGATATACATATGTATATGGCTTTTTTGAACTATTACGATATTTGTTCTAATTTATTTGAAGGAAGTAACATTATCTCAATTATGTCTTTTCTATTATTGACTCTTCCATTTTTTTGACATTTGGGTTATTTATTAGAAAAAGAAAAATATATGAAATATCAAAGTTTACCTGGGGACCATTCAAACAAATTTACACGACTTCTAACTGGGATATATCAAAAATATAATTTTATTTAATAATTTTTACTTTGTATAAGTCAACAGAGTATGATTTTCTCTATTTAGAAAAAAATAAGTCGCTAAGGGCTTCGTTTGAATCGAGATCTTCCAACTTTAAATTTTAGAAGTATTCATTCGCTGTTTGTGAAATAAAGTTATGAAACAATTTAACAGTTTCTGTAAGAAAGAAACTGTTGTGAATTATTCCTATGTGATATGTATTAAATTACAAGTTTTTTTTAAAGTTTTATAATGGCCTGTATTTCAAAATTTGTGTTTCCAAAATCCTAGGAAATATTTAGTATATATGTAGGATACAGTATTAGGGCAATAAAGCAGACTTTCTTTTGTCTTTGGTTTCTGATATTTATGTATTTTTATTAAATACATATTTGTCTTTTTGTGATGTGTGTTATGAAGAACATATTTTTATCAAGTTAATTAAATTCCTATTAAATATTAAAATATATTTTATTATATTTATTTTTATAAAATAAACATTCGAGATCATTGTCAGATTTATAAAAGCGTATTGAAAAATAAATTGAGTTTCGATAATTTTTATACGGTTTAGGTATTGCTTCTTTCGTTCTGATAAACTTGTTTTGTTGAAAGAAACACATTTTTCCGTTTATAACACTGCTACGATTGCTGGCACAATTAATTAGTATTTGCGATCCATAATTTAAGTCACTTTATTTAATTTAGTTCCAAAATAATCTAATTGAACGACTAATAAAATGTTAATGTCAAGACTTAAGTGTATTTTCACACGTGACATTTAGAATTTATGAATCACTGCTAACGTTTTCATAGAATTATACACCGTTTCTTTGATCTTTATCTAGTAGAGGTTTTTCGTATAACTTTTTTCAGGGACGTTAGTATTAGTTGTATAGTGACTTCACTTTTGCGATATAATGGTTGTATTTTCAGTAGAATTTTGAGTCATTTACTAAACAATATAATTAGATTCGGTCTATGTTTGTTGGTTACGTAATGAACATAAAATATATGGAGACGTTATTATCAATGGTTGTGTTAAGAATGATGATATCATTTCTAGTATTTACATTCAAGGCCTCTCAAGACCGTTCTAAATAAATTGTTAATTCTATTATTTTATGAATTTAAAAATTGAATCTTTATTAAACTATATATAAAAATGTATAACATTTTTTTTCACAATTGCAAGGTAATACGTTAAATTTCCTCTGAAACATAAAAACTTTTGATGACACACACTTGATGAAACTATAATAGTAGTACTTGAATGATATCTCAAAAACAATCTATTACATTTCCAAACCGAGCAACAGCAATATCACTGTAACCTTTCGCAATTCTTTCACGGAAAAATACGACTCAAATTAGTCATGCCGACACTTAAGTTTACGGCATTACAGCGCGGACCGGCGGCGCTCGCGTTCTATGGTGGACTGTTATGGTGGTACAATGAAGCCGTGGCGTTCTATGATGGGGTGGGGTCATGGCCATACGCTATGTATACATGTCGTCACACTCATAGGCACATCTTCTGACTAATGTGTCTCCCTAGACTGGCTACGATCTTAATTAATCTTTATCTTATGATTCTTTATCGCCTTCGTCGCGTTATTACTAAGAGAAGTATAATCAAATGAATTAAAAATGACAGACTAATATTAATAATTAAATGTTTTTTACCGTTAAAATATAAGAGTTTGAATAGCAAATTGTCAAGTCCTGTTGCTTTCCACTGTCTCGTTATGTGACGTAGTTAATAATGTCATCATTGAAATTTGACCTGATTTATCAACGACCCAATTTATCTTCAGATCGTCTTTCTATGGGCAGTTTTAATGGTGTCATGGAGGCGTCACTTAGGCGAGGCGAGTACCTACGCATACTACAACGAAAGGCACACCATACTATATTATTCTATAGAACATGAGATATCATATAGTTTATATAATTAAAATATTGATAACATGCCACCTGGTTTAGTGTGTATTGAAAATGATGATTAAATGTTTAATTAATTTCCACTTGTTATGTTTTCTCGCTACATACGTAATTAATTAACTTAATATTAAGATTTATACCAACATTAAAGAATATAAATAAACACAATATACATGTACACGTTATCTTGCTATTCTGTCTGTCTTTTATCTCACACCTGCAAGCTTTACAATTATGTTTGTTCTTTGATAATGTTTATTATCGACACAATAGTTATAGCTCAGTCAGTCGTGTACATTAAAAACTTTTCCAAACGAAAGTGCTACATAATATAAGCATGGTACATCCATGAATAAATTACATTTACAATAGTTGTTTAATCGCCCGTTTAGTTTTTGGTCATGCATTAGTGAATAGGTTAAACGCGGATAAAACATTTCTTTTTTGTTTTAAAGCGAAATAAAAATAATATATTCATATGGATGTTAATGATATTCAAAATATCTTTTTACTGATTTAGTGATATTGAAAAAAAAAATTAATTATTTCTTATGATGGAGATAATGTGATAAATCTATTATAAATTTATTATATCTGTCATCTCATTGAGTTACAGGATAAATTAAGTCTTTAGAATATGTAAATAGCTGTGGCTCACTTGAGATTATTTTTATATAAGTTACAAGTACATCGTGGAGGTTTTATAACTCTAATGACTCTTTTTTAATCTCCTATCCTTGTTATAGGGTGTGGCTAAGGATCGTGGTTGTATGCAACGTAACAAGCAGTCATTTCCATGGTCCACATTACTTCCATTCCCGAGTCTTTCTGATATTGAAATTATATTTTTTAATTAGTTTACACTTGTTATTACATACAAATGACTGTAGTTGCAAAGGAACCGGTAGAAACTCAGTTTAAGTGAAAACTTATGATATCTATCTACTAGAATATCACATGTAAAATGGTTATATGGAAAAAAATACCACTATGCTTTAATGTGGACATTACACAATACACAAATACACACACACACACACACACTTATCCAACTGATGCTACACAATCAAATACAGACGCCCACATAGGCACACACATATTTGCATTCATACCTATGTACAAAAAGCAAACTGTAGGAAACGCTGTTCACTTCGTACTCCCTAAGGAAATATTACTGAAGTTTAAAATGAAATTAATGTATAAAAATTTTCATGGCATATTTTACATTTTCATATTAACTTAGTTGACCTAGAATTATTATTTTTTTATCAATTTCATAATTTTCAAAAATATACATTCGTTACTACTCAGATGGCCCTATCGTAATCTTACCATTTCTATTATGATTAAGTAAACATATAAAAACTAGAAAAATACTTTATCATTACATAAATAACTTTGAGAACAGTTTTGGTTATAAGTTACAAATATAAAGCAGTACTTACTTAACAATTTTTTTATAGAATCAGAGATATCCAAAGTACAAATGGTCTCTTAACACAGATTTTAATGCTTTAGAGGAGTCCTAATTTATTATTGTGCTAAATTATTTAGTGGACTGTGCTTTTATAAGCATGGGAACAGGCTACGTTCACTCTGAGGTACTATTACACCCCATCTGGGACGCTGCTTGTATACATTTGTAAGTAAGGCATCAATTATGAAATACGAATATTTTAAATATTGTAACCTCTGAGTATAATAAAAATCAAATTCGGACTGTACCCAAAACTGGAATAAGAAATAAGTGAACTTGATAATAACGCTACATGATTGTATCAGCATAGCTTGGTTCTTAAGAATAATG